AAAGTTTTGGCTTAATACGATTTCAATTTGCGGTGAACCTATCACCTGAATGTAGTTAGAAATGGCCTAGTTATCTCCATGGCTTCCTCCACTCCGAATTTGCATTTTACAGAACAACAGTTTCAAGCAAGTAAGCAACGTCTACAGTTCTGACAATCAACGAACCCGAAGAATTTCACGGCAAATGTAAGCTATCCAGTCTTCCTTGATCGAAGACGCTTTGCTGCTTTTCACTAGATCCGTTACAGATCCACTTCCGCAAAATTCCATGACTAGCCACAGTTGATCGTGCTTCCCAGTTGAGGAAGGCAACTTTTTGATGAAAGCGCCGTAGTAGGTGGCAATGTTGCGATGGTAGGAGTACTGAAACAGAGATTCATTTCAAAATAAAACAAACAATTCCGTTCGTATCTTTAGATACCATATTGCACTTCGATACATTCTACACTAGTCATCAATTTTTTTACCAGCTAAGTTGCTGCAAAGAGTGTTCGGTCAGCCGCTGCAAATAGACGGGCCTAATCGCTGCCTCCAGCCTGGGTTTCAGTCACAAATGAGCCGAAAAGCACCCTCGCACGTTGTGTTGCATTCGCAGAATGCTTTTAAAACATGCTACGTCAAACACGCCCGTACGAAACCAACAAACACCACTTATAGCATTCTTTGCACCTGGCCTGTGGGTGCTCAGTTGAACGTTTGTGCTGTTGCGGACAAAACAGCTCCTGCGGACTGGAAGGCATTCGGAACGACAAATTGTGAGCAACGCTCGCGTTTCTGTCATTTTCACCCCCTCTCCAGTATTCTTTTGGGAGCATAAGCGAAAAATTATCCTTTAATTATGCTTGGGCAAAACGTCGCAGTTGTTGAACAAAATGCGATATTTTTCGACGAACGACGTTTTCCGGATTTTGTCGCCTACCGCTCCACACCCCTGCGGGTCAAGCTAAGGAAGTTATGCAGTAATAAAGCAGTAATTAATACAAGAATGTTCAAAGATACACAAATCACCTTCTTCAGCATGTTGATCTCAAGTTTGATTTCTTCTTCCTCGTCTTCGTTGATATTCATGATCTTTATTGCAGCTAACTGTGATGTTTTTACATGGCGACCCTAAATAGTAAACAACAGGAGTTCTGCGAACTCTTATAATCATAAGTGAGACCGAATATGTGAAAAGCCTTGCTCAACCTCATGGTGTCAATTGCTTTTATCAATGAAATAATTCCCCGGAAAGACTTGGCAGGTCTCGAATTGCTTATGACATATAACTGGTAGCCGATTTCGCGCATGGTTCGGTTTTTCCCTTCAGTAACCTCCACTGATTGTTAATGATTTCTGGCATAAAGAGTATTTGGAAACGGGGTTATTTAAGGGAAATGTAGAATAGAGGACTACAAATTGAAGCGCCGCAACGCAGTAGTGCTACACTCTTAGTCGCCCGCTTGAAAGTCAGGAGACACTCATGGTGCATGTAATTGGAACAGCTGCTGGCCCAGCTCGCTGCTCAAGCTCAGTAATTTGATTGATTGTAACAACTGGTATATTGTGAACGTTAGTCATTTAATCTTAGATACACAGAAAACAATCCTGTCATGTCGATCTAGTTCGTAACTGATATTTGATAAAATGCTATAACGGTTGGCCTCTAACTAATACAACCAAAAAAAACTGCATATTGGACCTGTTCAATATCGTTAAATTCAAAAGAAAAATAGCCGGCACTGAAAATCATGGCAATCAGTAAAGAATTATCAAGTACATGGAAAAAATTACAAATACAAACCTTATATACTTGCCCGTAAGTTCCATTGCCCACAACCTCTATTAGCTCAAAGATTCCAGCGGGATCCTTCAAAGAGTAAAGCAGTGAACACTTATAGCACGATTTTGACTATACAAAAACATCTGTTTAATTACAAACCTTGAGCGTATTAAGATCGATCTCATCGAGAACACCAGGGTTATGACCCATGGTGGCGA